TAACAATAAATTCAGAATTCAAAAATCAATTTAGGGGGGAAATCCATCCAATAAACATTAGATGATTACCAGGGCTAGCTGGCTAAATTAATCCTATTTGGGCCAGCGAGGAGATCAGGGGAGAATTAGCTGTGGGATCCCAGAATGGGTAATCTTCATAAAAAGGGGAGGGAAGGAAGGAAGGGGAATAAAAGATCAGGCTAAGTTCAAATTGAAAGCCAGGCGGAATAGCTGTCTTACAGGACCTGTGTAAGGAAGTTAAATCCTGCAGGGCCCTGATCTCATGGGACAGAGCATTCCACCAGGTCGGAGCCATCACTGAGAAGGCCCTGACCCTGGTGGAGGATAATCTGACTTCCTTAGAGCCTGGGACCTCTAAACTATGATTATTCATGGACCTTAAGGTCCTTTGCGGGGCATACCAGGAGAGGCGGTCCCTTAAATACGAGGGCCCTAAGCCACAAAGGGCTTTAAAGGTCAAAACGAGCACCTTAAACCTGACACGATACTTCACCGGGAGCCAGTGCAACTGGTAAAGCACTGGGTGAATATGCTCCCATGGCAGGGACCCCATGAGGAGCCTTACTGTGGCATTCTGCACCTGCTGGAGTTTCTGGGACAGTTTCAAAGGTAGCCCCACGTTGAGCAAATTACAGTAGTCAAGCCTGGAGGTGACCGTCGCATGGATCACTGTAGCCAGATCGGGGCAGGAAAGGGAAGGGACCAACTGCTTAATGAGTGGTACCTCGGTTTAAGAACAGTCCTGTTTGCGAACAATTCGGTTTACGAACTCTGCAAAACCTCGGTCTAAGAATAGAAGCCGAATGGTGGAAGGGCACTGGCAGTGGGAAAGTGCACCTTGGTTTAAGAATGCTTTGGTTTAAGAATGGACTCCCGGAACAGTTTAAGTTTGTAAACCGAGGTACCACTGTAAACTGTTCTGCTCAAATTAATGATTACTGACTGTAATTAGTTGAAAATGTTAAAATTTATTAATTCACAGTTGTTATGCACTCTTTAAAACACAGTTTTGGTGAATACAGGCTGGATTCATCCAAGCCTAATTTGAAATTTCTCCCCATACTCCCCCCACTTCAAGCACCAGGTAATATTTGGCCCTTTAAACTTGCTTAGGAGGAAAGACAGCTAATATACCTAAGCTCATTCCTGTCTGAAGTGAGAAGGCAAATTCTGAGGCTTCCCTCCTGAACAAACTCCAATAAATTTAAAGCTCCAAGACAAGAGCTGCCTACTGTTATTAAACCAGTTTAAATTTGCAATCCTGTCTGTATTTACTTGGCAATAACAGAGAAATCCTAATTATAGGAAGCCAATGTAACATACGCCGGCATAACTTATGCCACAATGTCTATTTCAAACTCTGTTTAGGAGCCTCTGGGATGGGCTACTGCAGACTAAGCCTGCAGGTAAGTGTGGGCCCAATTTTAGAGATTTGGGCTCTAGGCAAATTACCAAGCAAGCAGAATTTAGAATAGGTGTCTCTCCTTGCCTTGCCTCTGTAATGCCCCCTTCTGAGGACTTGTACCTGCTGAGCCAGGGTCAGGGACTTACACTGATGTAGCTCCAGCTCAGCTCAGATAAAGGACTGTTGTAACAGTCTCCATGAGGTGGGCAAACACCTGCAAGCTGGCCAATTTGCAGGAGAAAATTCCTCCCCGAATATGGCGACAGATTAACCTTAGCAAGGTCCTTATGCCAACTTGCTTACTCCCCCACTGAGTGGGCCTCTAACAGCCGGGAGGGGGGGGCACTGTTAGCTCTTGATGAAGATATGAAAACCTGTTAGTTGAGGATGAAGGCTACCAGAGGGCTTAATACAGAGCTTTCCAAAATTTTCATGTTGGTGACACACTTTCTAGACATGCATCATTTCACGACACAGTATTTCAGTTTTACAGTGGTACCTTGGTTCTCCAACGCCTTGGTACTCAAACAACTTGGAACCCAAACACTGCAAACCTGGTATGTGTTCTGGTTTGCGAACTTTTTTCAGAAACCGAAAATGCTCCATTTTGAGTGTTACGCTTCCAATTTGAGTACCACACTTCTATTTTGAGTGCCATACTTCCGATTTGAGTGTTATGCTTCCGATTTGAGTACCACATTTCCGTTTTGAGTGCCACACTTCCAATTTGAGTGTTACGCTGAAGTCTGTCTGTTTTTGCTATTAATTTTGCATTTTTGCTTTTGTGGCTTGTTTTGTTTTTGTGACTGTGTGGAACCCAGTTCAGCTACTGATTGATTGTGTGACTGCAGTTCATTGTTTATTGCTTTCATTTTATGGATCAGCGGTCTCATTAGATAGTAAAATTCATGTTAAATTGCTGTTTTAAGGGGTTGTTTTCAAAAGTCTGGAACAGATTAATCCATTTTGCCTTGGTTTTGGAACACTTTGGTTTTGGAACGGACTTTCGGAATGGATTAAGTTTGAGAACCAAGGTACCACTGTACTAGCAATCCGGAGGAGTGGAGGAAGTGTTTGCGCAACACACCTACACACTTCAGCTGACACACTAATGTGTCACAACACACAGTTTGGAAAGCTCTGGCTTAATAAGTGGGCCTCATCCCTTGAGAATGTTCTCTGTGCTGTTTTTGGATATTTCAAATGAAGGCGCTTCACAGAGACTACTAAGATGCTACAGTATTTTTCAGGCAAAGAAAATTAATTTGGGATTTTGAAGCTGAAGTAACTAGAATTGCAGGGAAGACTGTAAATCAGCTTTTGGAATCAGTTACACAGCAATCATTTCCTGCTTTGCAGGAAAGACATCCCAAAGCAAACACGCTCTTTGGACTGGCAAATTAGCCAGCCAAACATAGTCATCTGTCAGTTTTTCCGTGCAAGCAAAACAAAATAAAATATCTGGAGGGAGCAATCCTATGTGCATAAAGCTGGCATAAAACAAGCCAGTGTGAATTAATCCAGTGTAAAGTTACACCAGACCCAAACCCCATTCAGGAGTGGGGTTGGGCAGCTGCTCCTCCAAAACCTGGCAGAGGGAAAGCAAGCCTTGAAAATAGTGTTTTACAACAGGTTGCCAGGTCATGCAACCAAGCTGAATCTTCTTAAAATGGAGTCTAAGTCCCTCCTCTTTGGACCTGCCCCTGCCACACCCAAGGAACCCTACTTTTGCGGAGACTTACACCACCCTCGGAGGGACGTGGGTGGCGCTGTGGGTTAAACCACAGAGCCTAGAACTTGCTGATCAGAAGGTCGGTGGTTTGAATCCCCGCGACGGGTTGAGTTCCCGTTGTTTGGTCCCTGCTCCTGCCAACCTAGCAGTTCAAAAGCATGAAGTGCAAGTAGATAAATAGGTACCGCTCCAGTGGGAAGGTAAACGGCGTTTCCGTGCGCTGCTCTGGTTCACCAGAAGCGGCTTAGTCATGCTGGCCACATGACCTGGAAGCTTTACCCCGGCTCCCTTGGCCAATAAAGCGAGATGAGCGCCGCAACCCCAGAGTCGGTCACGACTGGACCTAATGGTCAGGGGTCCCTTTACCTTTACTTACACCAGCCTCACCTCAGCCAGCTGAGCAACTTATACCAGCATCTCTCCAGCTAAGTCAGAGTTAGAGACTTGCCAGATTCCTGGCTCAGTCAGAGTTAAACCAGAGATCTGCTGCATCCTAAGGTGCTCATCCTGCCAGATATTTCCATAGTATTGCCTTCTTAACGCAGTTCAAGAGCATGTATGTTTACTTAGAAGTATCACTATAGTTAACAGGACTTTTCACAAGTAAGTGTGCATAGGTTGCACAGGATTGCACAGTCTTAGTCACCTCAAAAAAGAAAAACTGAGCAACTGCTTTGTCAAGCCTCAAGCTCTGGATAAATGAGCACACTTGTCACTGAATTCATGTCATCCAGGGATTTCAGAAGGATAGGAATAATGAAGAATAAGTAAAGTTAATGGCAGTTCAGTCTGAAAGAGGCTGAAATCTGAAGAAAAATGAGGGCCGCAGGCAGGCAACAATTATTTATAGTCGCTCTCCAATGTATCATTCAGCCACATTTTCAATCAGCTTTGAAATTCAGAAGGAAAGAACGAAAAGGAATGATTGTGATTTTGAATAATTTTAACAGGTTTACTAGATTGTTGTGTTGTTGTTTTTTAAAAAAGAATCTATACTTAATTCCAACTCTATCCAGCACATTAAATAAAACAACCTGGCATAAATTCTCAACTGCCTAGAGTGACTATCCTAATTAAACGCAATATTTCTTCTTTGTTACTTTGCTTAATCTGTTGGTCTGTGCTGTTGTGGATAATGAGAGAAACAAACAAGGTAGGAAAGCAGAATTATTCCATGGTGCAAATTGGCAAGCTCTCTTACTTAAATGAAACTATCTGGAGCAAACAGCCTTTTGATAAAAAACCTCATATTCAAGACCTGTAGTGTGCTTTTTGATGTCCTTAAAAACTAATACAGTACCATGTACTGGTTCACCAAATTCCCCACCTAATTGCCCAACTATATAGGCCTTCTAGGTCTAAGCCATGTGAAGAAGGCTGTGCAAAAGCTCATTTTAAAAATGCATTCAAGCCTGGGTACCATACATACTGAAACTATTGATTTCAAATGGGACTTAAGCACTGCTAACTCTCCAAAGGATAAGGCAACACAACCTTTTTTCCGGTTCCTATATCCTCATTGCAGTGAGCAAAAAATGATGAGAGGCCTGATTTGCACAAATCATTTTTTTCAGCTCTTTTCTTCTTCCAGTCTCACAAGATAAAGTTGTCTAGGTACCAAAGAAGCTCCGTTGATGCAAGAGCTTTGTATTGGTGCTCTTTGGGTTCAAAGGAAAAATAGTATTTTTCCCCCCTGCAGTGATGGCAAGTCTTTCTGGGACCTTATTTTCTAGTGGAAAGAGAAGTTTGACTCTAAATCTTAAATTTTAAATGTATTGAATTAGGTAACATAAAAAAGATACAAAGAAGAAGAGAAGTCAAATACAATGAGGAAATACTTCTTTCAATGTAACTGAATTTAATTCTCGTGAAACTGAGAAACAAATCACTCCAGCTAAATCAGAAGTCCGGAACACAATTCTGGAAATCTACCCTGCAATGGAGTGTATAAGTGAATGCTGATTTTCTTTCATTAATTTGGCAAAAATAGTCCATAGTACACATATTATTAAATATTGATAACAGTATTCTTATTACCTAGATGACATGAAATAAGGCTTCTGAATTAATTCAGAGATTTTCAGCATTCTCATTCTTACAAAACTGTTTGTCTTTTACCCATCAGTTTTGAGCACAGATCTTCCATGAACTTTAAACTTTATTTCATTTTGGATAAATCCAGAATGCAAGCCCCCACTTCCCTTTACTCTCCCAGCACTATACATTTCCCCCAGACAAAAATCAAAGACATACCTTTACCCAACTGGAAGTAACACATTGGATGAATTTGATTGGTATACTAAACGCAAGCCATCCAATTAATCTTGTTTACATGTCCTGAAAATTATAGATGGCTTAGAACTTTGAAAATACACTTAAAACTATCAAAAATAGCTGTAGTTTAAAATATTTGTCTCCACATTATTAAAGCTATTGTTAAATTATATTTTTATAAATGCCGAGTACAAATAGATAAAAAGTGATAAATCATGGTATAAAAAGAAAGAGACCCTTTTCAGGAAAATGTATTTGCAATTCAACTGATCATATAAAAGCATAAATTAAAAAAAGTTTATATATTTTTATGTGCTATGGTTTCACCATTCATTGTAACTACATTCCAGAATACTGCAAGAGGTCAGGGCACATTGTTCTTGTGCATGTAGCAGAGTGACCATAACCTTTACACTGAAGTCACTCTCATTACCACCTCTCCAGAGCTGTTGTCATCTGATGAATCCTCCTGAGGTCGCATTCGACTGAAGAGATGTAACAAAACATAGCCACACTGAAATCTTGGTGAGGTTAACTGTGTTGGATGAACTAAACTTCTGTTTCTAAATGCATTTAGTGGTAACCACAAAGTCCTAGATGTTGTGGATTCTCCACGGTTGCTCTCTTCTATGTCTGTAGCTTTATCATAATTTAATACATCCCAGTGCAGATTGACAGCCCGCCAACGCTTAAATACTCTGCAAACTGAGGCCCCTTCATGCACAATAAGTCCTGAAAGTAAAAGAAACAAATTATTCACGCCCTCAGTTCTTCGTACCGAGCACATTTATTTGTTAAATAAGTGGCATTAGAATTGAATTAGTACCCTGAGCCAAAGCACAGGTAAACCCAAGTAGCTGAATTACAGGTGGCCAGGACCCATTTATATATGTTGTCAGAAACTGATATGCATCCAGGCATTTTTTTGGTTCTGAGCAAGAGAAAATGATGGTTTTTAAACTTATACTACCATAAATGTTTCATTTGTTTGCTGAATCAGTATAAGTTGGCGACACAGCACATACATTATAAACCTAATCAATTACATTATAAATCTGATCAATTATATAATTATATAATTTATTAAAGGCCAGCCTTTAAAGAAAGAAAGCTAAATATAAACAACTGTGACTTTTTGTCTTAATAATAATAATAATAATATTTTTTTTATACTCCGCCCTCCCCAGACAAGGCCGGGCTCAGGGTGGCTAACAAGCAATAATAAAAACAAGTTGAATGAATACAACTTTAAATAGATTAAAATACAACATTAAAATATTGAAACATTAAAATATTAAAATGCAGCCTCATCACAGGAGGAGAAAGGAAAAAGAAAAAAGAAAGGGGGGGGATCAAATTGGCTCCAAGCCAAAGGCCTGTTGGATTAGACCATCTGGTATATGTAGTCCAGCAATGTGTGTACATGCATGTATTGTGTGTGTGCATATACAATAAATTAATGCAGTGTGAGACTCAGACACTGCAACAGCAAAGTATGCTAACCCTGCAGGTGCTAATATAAAACCTGTAGCTACAACTGAGCCATAATTAAGCACTTTTAACCACTTCTAACATTATTATTGAGCCAGACATCCTGGAAAGTGAAGTCAAATGGGCCTTAGAAAGCATCGCTAATAACAAGGCCAGTGGAAGTGATGATATTCCAGCTGAACTATTTAAAATTTTAAAAGATGATGCTGTTAAGGTGCTACACTCAATATGCCAGCAAATTTGGAAAACTCAGCAGTGGCCAGAAGATTGGAGAAGATCAGTCTACATCCCAATCCCAAAGAAGGGAAGTGCCAAAGAATGCTCCAACTACCGCACAATTGCACTCATTTCACACGCTAGCAAGGTTATGCTTAAAATTCTACAAGGCAGGCTTAAGCAGTATGTGGACCGAGAACTCCCAGAAGTGCAAGCTGGATTTAGAAGAGGCAGAGGAACCAGAGACCAAATTGCAAACATGTGCTGGATTATGGAGAAAGCGAGAGAGTTCCAGAAAGACATCTACTTCTGCTTCATTGACTATGCAAAAGCCTTTGACTGTGTCGACCACAGCAAACTATGGCAAGTTCTTAAAGAAATGGGAGTGCCTTATCACCTCATCTGTCTCCTGAGAAATCTCTATGTGGGACAAGAAGCTACAGTTAGAACTGGATATGGAACAACTGATTGGTTCAAAATTGGGAAAGGAGTATGACAAGGCTGTATATTGTCCCCCTGCTTATTTAACTTATATGCAGAATTCATCATGCGAAAGGCTGGGCTAGATGAATCCCAAGCTGGAATTAAGATCGCCGGAAGAAATATCAACAACCTCAGATATGCAGATGACACAACCTTGATGGCAGAAAGTGAGGAGGAATTAAAGAACCTTTTATTGAAGGTGAAAGAGGAGAGCGCAAAATATGGTCTGAAGCTCAACATCAAAAAAACGAAGATCATGGCCACTGGGCCCATCACCTCCTGGCAAATAGAAGGGGAAGAAATGGAGGCAGTGAGAGATTTTATTTTCTTGGGCTCCATGATCACTGCAGATGGTGACAGCAGTCACGAAATTAAAAGACGCCTGCTCCTTGGGAGAAAGGCGATGGCAAATCTAGACAACATCTTAAAAAGTAGAGACATCACCTTACCAACAAAGGTCCGTATAGTTAAAGCCATGGTTTTCCCAGTAGTGATGTATGGAAGTGAGAGCTGGACCATAAAGAAGGCTGATCGCCAAAGAATTGATGCTTTTGAATTATGGTGCTGGAGGAGACTCTTGAGAGTCCCATGGACTGCAAGAAGATCAAACGCATCCATTCTTAAGGAAATCAGACCTGAGTGCTCACTGGAAGGACAGATCGTGAAGTTGAGGCTCCAATACTTTGGCCACCTCATGAGAAGAGAAGACTCCCTGGAAAAGACCCTGATGTTGGGAAAGATGGAGGGCACAAGGAGAAGGGGACGACAGAGGATGAGATGGTTGGATAGTGTTCTCGAAGCTACCAACATGAGCCTGACCAAACTGCGGGAGGCGGTGGAAGACAGGAGTGCCTGGCGTGCTCTGGTCCATGGGGTCACGAAGAGTCGGACACGACTAAACGACTAAACAACAACAACATTATTATTAATTTATTTGCATCCCATCTTTCTGTTCATCAAGTTCCCCCAAGATGGCTAGCAACAATAACAAAGCGGAACAAATTAAAACAATTACACACACAAACACAAAATAAGTGAATTAAAAAATGCAACAGGGACATCAGCAGACAACAAAATCAAGGACATGTTCAAGTTTCATTGAGGCCAAACACCTTCTAAAAAACCCAATATTTTCACTGTGCATCAAAAATGAAACAAAGAGAGAACTAAATGAGTTTCTTATGGGACAGTATCAGCCTGGATACCACCACTGAAAACACTCTAGTGACCACCAGCCACACCTTAGGCAGTGGGGGCAGGGATACAAAACAGAGCCTTAAATGATTATTTGGGTAAGCAGGTGGGTTCAAAGAGCAGGAGACTTCAAGGTTATAACATTCAGAGTAAAAACAGTACTTTGAATTGGGCTTGAAAACAAAATGAAAATCAGTGGAGATGATGTAATAAATACTGGACCTATATGCTTCTTGTGTCATGTCCTAGTCCCTTTGATATGCCAGGCTTTGTGTACAAATAACTGCTGTTGGGCAAGTATAAAATCTTTGCTTTATTTATTGTTGATTAAAAACTTTACACTTGAGAACTTTGCTGATGTATGATTTCTATTTCCTGAAGAAACAGACATACATTTATATATGTAAGGGGGGAAAGCATATTCCAAATTATTTCTTATCACCTTTAACAAAGTGAATGATTTCATTTTTTGACCTTACCTATGCACACCAGATCCATAAAACCATACATTCCATAGCAGATTTGAAAAAGGACATCTTTTCTTTGCCATACTGCATAAGGACTGAAGGCTGACCACAGAAGCCAAGTTACACTTGCTACTAAGAACAGTGATCCCAACATTACAGCAATCATCTGCACTTTCTCAACCAGAGTTACAGTAATGCTTTGCCACTAGAAGGAAGAAGACATAACAAGGTATAAAATGTTTACAAAAACATTGAAGGTCTGTTATGACAACCCATGAAAATGTTCATAGAGCCTTTTTACATGTATGCTGCATTATACCGGTGCAATAGGCTCCTCCATCGCTCTCATTAAATCTGCTTAAACGTGAAGAAGTTTAAATAACAGCTTGGAGTGTCACACAGAAATGACATGCTGCTTAGAAATAACAGTTAAATACTTGGTGCAAATATAGAACCATGTGAACTCTATAATTAATATTTATAAAAATATTTATATATCACTATTCATAAAAATATCAGTGCCATTTACAAGAATTATACAATAAAAACCACATAAAAATGTTGAAATCAGAAATCACCTAACAGTTATGAGAAAATATATTCCTAATTTCCTGCATAAACGTTATATGTACTTAACAGTGTAATTCTATACACTGAAGAAGAAGAACGATTTAAAAACTTCCACTGTTTTCAATGAGACTTAATCCTAGGAAAGTAGGTATGCGATTGAAAATTATCTCTACCATGGAAATCAGAAAAACTTTAAAAGTATTTGACTTAAGCTGAGTCAATAGATGGACATGACTATACTTGAAAAATGTCTCCAGGGAAATCCTGCTACATAAAACAATGTTGTTTGTGCAAGAGCGAGAGAAAGAAAAACCAACATATGCTCATGTGGAAAATAATTTTATCCTTCCAAAAGGTTCCTTTTAAAAATGTAGAACCCAACATTATTTTTGATGAAGGAAAAGAACAATGCTCAGCCAAAATAATTTTTTAAGCTTGTCAGCTTCAGCTATTTAGTAAAACCTCTGGAAAAAAACACAGTGAGAGAAGCTATCAAATTACAGGTATTTTGGTTATAGCTATTTCCTCACATTTATCAAAGAAAGACAGAACCACATTCATCACTACAATGGTTACATCTCAAGTTCATAACCATATGAACATTTCATATGTTACTTCAATGAAATTTTAAAAGATTGGTTTTTTTAATGTATAAAAAGTATGTGCTAGAATAATACATAAAAGAATTGTTCTATTCTTACTAGTGTACTGGTATTAGTATATAACCATGCAGTTGTGGGAGACCTTAAATGTAGAAAATAATGGCAGCAGTGTTAGCCCATAAGAGAAATCCTGAAACCATATTATGACAATGCCTTTATTACAATAAAATAAAAACAAAATCACAAAATAGTGTGCAAACTTTTAGGTTCTCCCAAGCTCTTCAACATCTAACCTGATGATTAATATTGGAAAACATGAAAGCTTGCACGCTATTTTTTGTCGTTTTCAGTTTTTCTGGTTACAGGAAAATTTCCCTGGAAATAAAATTGGTTTCAATTACCACAAGCTCTACCTCCCCTTTTTCCCACTAGGCAACAGTCACCATTGCTCTCTACTTCAGTTAGAGATTATACCAGGGCTGGCCGCAGACATTTTGGCACCAGAGGCAAACCACAAAATGTTCCCCTCCCCACTAGGGAAGAAGGGGTGAGTGAAGATGTACATCAGGAACAAGGGGAGAACAAAGATCTACATTGGGAGCAAGGGCAAGAGGAGACTAGCAGCACCTCCTATTCACCAAGGGGCAGCTGTAGAGCTGGCATGGGGGGTGAGGCAGCTGCTGAGGAGGATGCAGATCCAACACAGCTATCACTGCCACTGTGGCAACAGCAGCAGCAGGCAATGTATTCCTTGGAGGCATGGATCCTCCCTCCCAATGTGGTCACCTCACCTTGCCTCATGGATGGGCCGGTCCTGGATTATGCCCTATGTAAGCAATTGAGATAATGGAAAGAGGAATTGTTGGCAGCCAATAAGCATGGATCAACCCCGTCTAACAGAATATACACCAAAACAGATCATTTTTTTCCAAGTTATTAGCACTTTGGACCAGGATGCATAACCATGTGGGCTAGGAAACCAGGGTAGGAATGGCGAGAAGTAGAAGAAAGAGGGATGACAGCAGATGAAATAAGCCCTGTGACCTTGGCATAGTGAGGTGTCAGCAACTCACAATAGATCCTTTCATTGTCTCTGGGAGACAATGTGACTAGAATGTTCATGTGATCATGTGATCTTAACGGAATTGTGCCTAGAGATTCTTTGCCAAATAAGAGAATTACTACTGACATTAAATATTTCTATGTGTCAAGACAAAGAGAAGCATGACTTGTCAGGGGAATGCTGTTGGGTGAGAGCATCCCCCCTCCCAAATTGAATGAGACATAATACAGTCTAATCCTCTTAGGTGGTCTGGAAATCTAGTAATACAACATGTGAGGGGTGCCATGAGAGCCAACATGCTATCTCTGCCCCCAATCATATTGCTTTCTATAAGTCGAAGGGTCCCTGTTCCTACTCATGTATGCTCTTTGTGGGATATAGGACCCTGCTTCAGACAGATGCCCTTCAACTCATGAAGGGCAATGAGGCAGAACTAGCACATTCATCTCCTCATCCCCTTCCCCATCCAGCCAATGGGTTATAGTCCCAGATTTCCAGAATCCCTAAAGAAGGCTTTAGATCAATTCACAAGGGTGGGGAGTAGCGGGGAAAGTGTGTGCTAAAAGTTTGTAATTTAATCTGTATGGGGAAATATGTATGTTTTGATAGTGGTGCTGAAAAAATAAGTGCTTTGATAACTTCCTACAGCAGAGAGGTAGAATGAACATGAATAAATGTCTTGCACATTTTACACATTGTAGCTGCCAAGCTCTTTATGTATTTGGGAGCAACAGAGTGAAGACAAAAACTGTTTCAATACTAAATGATAAAATATTACAAAGCCTATTGGGAAGAGTGAATTATTGTGCCCTATTCAACCCAGGTGAGTGAAACTCCATTCACCACTGAAGAGAGGTAGGAAACATTCTCTTCTGGACAGCCTTCTGGGAGCCATATGCCAGTGGCAGGTGGAGCCAGAAACAAAAGTGGACATGGTAACAGGCAGAGCCATTAATATGAATGCCGCTTCTGTAGACTAGTTTCTACACACATTCTCACACCCTTCTGAATCCAGGCAAACAAGCAAGATTATCAGCCCAGCAAAAAAACTCAAAGAGGGTGCAAAGCAAAGCTGGGGGTGGTATGGCCTGAGAGAGGGCAGGTGTGACTAGGGAATGGGGCTGTGGAGATTGTTCTGAGTGCCAGATAGATAGGCCTGAAAGGCTTAATTCACCCCACAGCCTAAGCTTCTCCATCCCTTATCTTAGAGATTTAACTAAATAAAGGAAGTGGCAGGTTTTCTGTCAGATTTAACCTATAGGGTTAATCAGAATTTCCAAATTTAAGAAAGCTAGGAATTTTAGAAATAGGGCTAAAAATGCATTTTTTAAAATTCTAGTCCAACTCTATTCTTTTTTTTAATGTATTTTTATTAAAGATTTTCTTGGTTTAAAGAAATATGTGTAATGTCTCTCTTTTTTTTCTCCAAGTAACATTTTTTACAGATCAGTTTCACTTGTTGAGACATTATGAAGAAGAGGGGGAAAGGGGGTGAGGGGGAAGATGAGTGGGGGTGGGTGGCGATGTTTCTATTATACTTAATATATGTGTGGTTTTGTGTCAGGGTCGCTTGTGCAGGTTCTCTGCTATTCACTTGTGTTCCTTTGGTGGTGAGAGAGGTTGGGGTTGGCCTAGGGTGTGGTTGTCTGGTTGTTTGTTTGTTTGTTTGTTTGTGATTGTGTGAGTGGGGTGTGTGTGTGTTTTCAATCAAGTTAGCCATACTGATTTGTATGCTGTTGGTGGTTTCTTGTCGTTGTCTTGTTGGGCTGTGTATGTGATAAAGGGGAGCCATACCAGGGTGAAGGTATTTTCTTCCATTTGTCCCCGTGTCAGTTTCAGTTTATTGGTTAGTTTTTCTAATAAGGCTGTTTCCCATACTATTTGGTACCATTGGTCCATTCTTACTCCTGACAGATCTCTCCAGTGTCTGGTTATGGTGTTTCTGGTTGCTGAAAGTAGGTGGGTTCTTTGTGGTGTAAATGGGCATTATTGTCTTGGAAGATGTTTAGTAGAGCCAATTCTGGGGTGATTTCTAATACTTGCTTAGTTATTTTACATATTTCTCGTATGGCTGTTGTCCAAAATAGTTGGATTTTGGGGCACCCCCACCACATGTGGAGGTATGTGCCTATGGTGGTGCACCCTCTCCAGCATTTTGGTGAGGTTCCTGGGCGTATTAGCGCTAGTTTTCTTGGTGTTAGGTACCACCTGTAGGTGAGTTTCCGAGTGAGTTCTTTTCTTCTCGTTGATATGGATTTAAAGCGGGGTTTAGACCACATTCTGATCCATTGAGTGGGATTAATCTCATAGTCTATGTCATCCTCCCATTGTTTTTTGATTGCGTCTAGGGGGTTTGTGGGATTTTGGAGTAGTATTTTGTATATTGCAGATACCATTCCTTTACCGTGTCCCTTTGTTGTTAGGAGGAGGTTTTAGAAGGTTGTCAGGGGCCTAGTTGCTGCTGATTTTACTGCTGGATTGTTTAAGAGGGCATGTAATTGGTGTTGTGCTAACCAGGGCATTTGGGTGTCTTCTAGTTTGTCTTGTATTTCTTGTGTTGGCAAAGGTTTGTTATTTTTTTAAAAAAGTCTATTAGGCGATAGAAGCCTTTGGTTTGCCAGGTTTTTATCTGGAGGTTTTGTGCTGCATAGTGGAATAAAGGGTGGTACACCAGGGGAATTAGTGGGGATGGGGTTGGGGATAGTTTGCCTAGTTCAACTCTATTCTAATTGCAAAATTTGTTATCTACATTGGGTGGGAACTCCATCAATGGAAGCCCTGTGCAAGGACTTCTGCTTGTACAACAGCGCTTCCCCCCCTTCCCCTGTGTGCCCCCCACCAGAGGCACCCTGGATGACCAAAATTTGTTGTGCACACCCCTCCCAGCCCTTGAGCTGTGCTGGGCTTTGAAGAGGCGTAAGGGCTCCAACAATATAGTGGATTAATACACTGCAAAATCCCAGTGCAAATGGCAGCTTCAGTGGAGGAATTTTCATCAGAATCACAGCATGAGAGAAATGCGCAAAGGCGCATTTAACATCATGTCTACAAAAATATTGCACACTGATATCAACCCTTGTACCTTGGACAATGTAAAGGAGCATAAATCTGGCAAAATCGGCCCTTATTTTCTCAGGATAATCTTCACTATATCATTTCAACTTGCACGTTACTGATTTAGAGATTTGGCACTTATCAAAGCACTGCCAGGCAGAATTTAATTTCTGGAGCAATCCTATGTTGTCAAGCGAATTTAAGCAGAACCTAAACAGCTCTTAAGGTATGATGAAGTTAAGAACTTCTTTAATGCCTAAGCTTGATGTTACCATATTTTTCCTCACTGATGAACTGAATGGGAAATATTTACTGTGTCTTATGATAAGGACATGCAGACTCAGTGAATGGAGATCAGTTAATAAAATGATGAATAAACCAAAGTATAAAAAATTGTTACTGTATTTATACAGTCTGTATGATTATTGGAATTTTGAAATGTTACCTGACAAGGCTTTTTCATTTTAATTGCTATAACATGGTATCTGTAACAGCAGAGTTCACAAGTCCAGGACCCTCTTTCACTAATCCATTTCAATAGGCAAAGTTGATGTGTATACCGAACTGACCCATCACATCGACAGGGATTTAACAATTCACCCTAGGAAAAATAACAAATAGGGTTAAATGTCATAATAAATATAATATTAAGCTTCCAAATCCTTGAACAGTGTCTCTTAAAATCAGTTTGCTGGCATTTTTTTAAAAAAATATATTAGCTGGAATAACCACCCCTGGCCCCGACCACCAGTTTATTTTGGAAATATTATTCAATATTCTCCCATCCCAGGGTCACAAAAAAGAAAGGAAAAACATATAGACAAATTAACTCTTTGAGCAAAGAGCAATACTATTTGTATTATATTTGCAAAAATGTTCATTTGCAATTTCTGAAATTTTTGCACTCTATGTACTAATAAAAAATGCATGACATCCAAGGGACCTTCATATTTTAAGGTGTTTTATATAGTGCATACAATCATTTTAGAGCAATAAAGTAAGGTCGTATTTATTCTGGTGGCATATGCATTTTTGTCATGAGAGTGCACAGGCCACACCTGTAATATATATGATGAGCTCTGAAATTGGCTTACCAGTGAGCATTAATGGTGAATGTGGCATCTAATAATATCTCCTGCAGCTTAACAAGAGTCTCAAATCTAAATGTCCATCTTAAAATAATGCAAATTTTGAGATTTTTTTATATGTCTAGATCACTTAGGCATATGTAGGTAACATCTGAGTACAGATTTCAACATTCACTGAGTAAGTCTTTATCATTTAGTGATTCATCAGCCTCTTTCCTTGGCTCCCGGAGGTCCATGCCTCCCTTCTTGTATAAAATTAAACCTTTCCCTAACGCCTTTCCAAGAATCCTAAAGCTTCTTTCCCACTGCTTCACAAAAACTTAAAATTCAAAATTCCAAAGAGTAAAACTAATTACGCCACTATACAAAAAGTGTAGAATATGCAAAGAAACCATTACTAGACTTATCTAATTTACATAGTCACATATTCTGTACCGCTGCAATGCAGAATTCCAGAGCATCACATTAGACTATGTTGGAGTTTTGTCATCCGCTTACAAAGAAACATGTGTCACATTGTTCATGCCTCTTTAATACACAAATTCAGATAAACAATCACCCACAACAGATCACATCCTGTTGAAGTAGCTCTTTACTGTAGTCTGGAGAAGGGGAGCCTCTTGACGTTCACTGCAGAAACCTTGGAAAAAATTCTGTTGCTATCTGCAATCAGTTTTCACTGCATAGAAACTTTGGGCCCATTAATTTAAACAGCACAGTGAACCACAAAGTGAGCCGTAAGGTATCAAACACAGGAAATTGTCACCTGATGAGACAGCTCTAAGGCTGTAATGACAGATTTAAGAATTACCACTAATTTGGTAGAATAGGCAAGGGAACCAAGTGGGGGAATACGGAGCTCTTTCTGTTTAAGTTGACAGCTTTGACTCTTTATTAATGACTTGGAGAAAGAGGGGACAGCAGGCATTAAACTGTGGATTATACAGAACTAATAGTCTGGAAATCCTTTCAAAGAGTAGTTACAAAATGCAGCGCTATGTCAATAAATTAAAGATATGGAAAGGTAAAAAATGGAACAAGTAGGGACCAATGTAAACTACTGTATGACTGGGGGATATTTGGCTAGCAATTTGAGATTTCTATGAATGATTTAGGACAGCCTTCCCCAACCTGGTGCCCTCCAGATGTTTTGGATTCCAGTTCCCACAATACTTGATCATTGGGCCATGCTGGCTGGGGCTGGTGGTAAAAGGTAAAGGTAAGGGACCCCAGTCACAAATGACTCTGGGGTTGCAGTGCACATCTCGCTTTACTGGCCGAGGGAGCCGACGTTTGTCCACAGACAGTTTTTCCAGGTCATGTGGCCAGCATGACTAAGCCGCTTCTGGCGAAACCAGAGCAGCACATGGAAACACCATTTACCTTCCTGCAGGAGTGGTACCTATTTATTTACTTGCACTTTGGTGTGCTTTCGAACTGCTAGGTTGGCAGGAGCTGGGACCGGACAACAGGAGCTTACCCCACTGCGGGGATTCGAACCGCCGACCTTCTGATTGGCAAGCCTAATTTAGGGTTCCTGGAAACAACAAGTTGAACACAATGTGTCAACGGCGGGGTATTGTGACAAAATAACAATGCCACTGATAAAGAGGAAATAGTATTTGTCACAATACATATAAAAATGGGAAAGAGTTTACTAACAGTTGGAGGAGAAGAGTATGGTTACACTTTGACAAAACTAGACAGGATGTGGAAGGAAATATATATCCTATAAATGGCCTTTGAAGGTTTTTGAGAATAGATTAGGCATAATCTACTGGGAATGCTCTAACTATATGACATCCTGGTTTAGGGCATACTGTTGATTCAGATAACTTCTTTCTCTACAAATTACCAAGCAGAATGGAAAGATAGTTAATACCAGACTATGTAGAGAAACAAGTCACATTGTTGATAGGTGAAGTTGAGCAGGGAGACATACATACATCCTTGTGCAGAGCTATACATATACAACTGCATACAGTGTTCTATGGACTGAAGGAAATTGATATTTAATTTATTTTTAAAAAACAGCAACTTCCCTTTCTTATAAGTCTCAGTCTCTTGCTTGGCTCCAGAAAAACACATTCACCTATATATGAAGTCTAGGTTGGCAGCAAGCAAAAAAATGAGATTGAGGGCTAATATTAATGGAAAATCAAAGAAACATAGAATTGCAGAGGTGGAAGGGGCCATGAGGATCATCTAGTCCAACCCCCTGCAATGCAGGAATCTTGAAGATGTCGTGCTGGCTACTTGTTGAGGTTTGAGAATCATGCCTCCCTTCATGTGCCTTGTAACTTCCGACAATTTGACAGTTCCACAGGAAAAGTTATCACACTACCTACAAAACGGCGTGATGTGTATCTATGAGCTGCAGTAATAAGCACATGTTACCCTCTAACAACCCAGCCCCATTCACTTAATATTGTAGGCGATAGATACACCACTGTGCTTGCAAATAGCTTTAGTTTCTGTTTTCAAATACATATTTATCCCCACTGGCCTATTCATCAGTATTCCGCATTCTCTACCACCTGCACTTTTACATCTGACAATGACCAGTGCCTCTACTGCTTATAAACACTGGTTAGATGTACATGGCTCCACATAACTTCTCTGCATAATGCCTCACACAGGAAGCAGCAATTAAGTTACGACATACTTACGATTTAATAACAAATAAACTTTATCCGTATTTGCTCCCACCAAGCCTAGTGGGGGCATGACTACTTAGCGGTTAAGTCTGAGGATCTCTCACACTTAAAATTTATAAACAAGCAAGCAAATAACTAAAACAATTATCCGTATCTGATCCCATCAAGCCTAGAAGAGGCATGTCCATTCCGCTTCCTTGTCACAGCACATGGCATGGTTAAGCCTGCAGATCTCACACTTACAGATATTTGTTTATTTACTATGAAATTGTATCTGCTCCCACCAAGCCCAGAAGGGGCATGACCACTCTGCTTCCTTGCCACAGTGGGGGGGGGCAGTTAAGTCCATGGATCTCACTTTAGTAATAAACAAACAAATATCTGTATCTGCTCCCACCAGAGGGGGCATGACCACTCTGCTTCCTTGCCACAGTGGGTGAGGCAGCTAAGTCTGTGGATCTCACTTTAATAAAATAAATAAGCAAGCAAGCAAGCAATTATGGGCATCTGCTCCCACTAAACCTAGAAGGAGCATGACTACTCTGCTTCCTTGCCACAGCGGGTGGGGCAGTTAAGTCCGTGGATCTCACTTTAATAATAAACAAACAAATATCTGTAACTGCTCCCACCAAGCCCAGAAGGGACATGACCACTCTGCTTCATTGCCACAGCGGGTGGTACAGTTAAATCCGTGGATCTCGCTTTAATAATAAATAAATATCTGTATCTGCTCCCACCAAGCCCAGAAGGGACATGACCACTCTGCTTCCTTGCCACAGCGAGTGGGGCAGTTAAGTCTGTGGATCTCACTTTAATTAATAAATAAATAAGCAAGCAAGCAAGCAATTATGGGCATCTGCTCCCACTAAACCTAGAAGGGGCATGACTACTCCGCTTCCTTGCCACAGCGAGTGGGGCGTTTAAGTCTGCGGATCTCACACTTACAATTTAATAGTAAATAAATAAATATTTGTTATCTGCTCCCAGCGAGCCCAGAAGGGGCATGGCCGCTCCGTTTCCTAAGTCAATGGGATCACCTGGGCGGTCGCCCCCCCCCCCCAGCCCCAGCCACCACTCCGGTACTGTTCCCATCCCGGCGAAGCGAGACGCGGGATGCCCCGCTTCCTCGTTGGCGACGCCGAGCTTTCCCTGCGGCTGCGGCTGGCGCTGTCCGCGGTGCTGACGGCCGCCTTCGCCTGCCCGGCGTTGGAGAGCCACGTGCGCGCGGCTCCCTCCTTCCCTGCTCCCCCCCCCCGCCCTCGTCGTGTCATTTTAACCAAGGCGTGTGTGGGGAGTCTCCCCCCCCTCTCTCTCTGCGCCCCTCCGTCCCGCCTCAGCGCTCACCTGCTCGGCGCCCTGGAAGCAGATCTTGCAGATGGGGCCGGCGCCGCCCCCGCCGCCATCCCCGCTGCTGTTGCTGCACACCGAGCGCGTCTCGGGCTTCTCGCCCCGGACGGCCCCGCCGGCGGCGGCCGTTACCCCAGGAGCCGGCGGAGGAGGAGGAGGCGTCGCCGTCGCCTCCGAGCGCGGGGCGGGGCCCTCCGGCGGCTCGCCGGGGCTGCCGCCGCCGCCACCGCCGTTGCTGCTCATGGGGGGCCCCCCTCACAGACGCGCGTGCGTGTGTGTGTGTGTGTCCCCCCCCCTCCCACGCACGCCCAGTTTCGCCCCCTCCCCCTCTGCGGAGGGGAGAGAAGGGCTGGGACACGGGCACGAGCCTCCCGCCTAGCTGGCGAGGGGAGCGGTGGCCGCGTGCCGAGCCGCCGCCGCCGCCGCCGCCTCCTCCCCGCGCGCGCAACCCCTCCCTCCCTCCCGCGTAGGCTTTAGTGCCGGCGCGCGACTCCCCTCCGCATCTGACGCCTCGGAACGCGGCGGCGAGAGAAACCGTTGGGAGACCGTTAGCGGGCGCGAGCCCAGGTGGGGTGGGGGGAGGGGCGTGGGGATGGGGGGAAAGCGCGCCAAAGATAGACGCGCGCCTCGTCACTCGCGGAACCGCCGCATGATGAAGCCGGGCACACGCGCTCTGCCGCCCCCCACCCACCCACCCCCCAAAATAGTGACTGGCGACGTCCCTCAGCCACCCGCCCTCCCCCCCCCCCGTCGACATAGTTGCCTGGCTACCTTTCCCCTCACCTCACAAAGGGGCCAAATGTCCTCTTCTTGTGGGGTCACGTGGTTGTTTCACCTCAGGTTTCCTTCGAGGGACCTGTCTCGCCTCGAAGCTGATTCGCCCCGCTGTCGCTGAAATTCTACTCAGTATTGATCCAGAGTAGATTCCAATGTAAAAACTGGAAACACCCTTGCAGGATCCCCCCCAAAATAGACCAGAGGCATTTCAATCCATCAGAGCTTAAGGGCTACTGAAGGCAAATGAGCATAATGGTCAGGAAGCCAATACATTCAGGATTGGCAGGAGAGGATGGCGAGTGTGGCAGGAAGATTTAAGTACAATCAAATAAACATTTAAACATTTCTGCATAGTATTGTATAGCATACACACATATACACACTTTTCAGGTTTATACATTTAACTTTACAATCATTTTAACATTTCAATACTTCCTTCCCCCTTTCTGGGTCCCTTAAGTTTATTTTTAACATCTTCTGCACAAACCGTGCAACTTAATTTGCTCATTTATATATCTACTTTGAATATATGCTCTTATAAAACTGCAGGTCATTACAATAATCCTGGCAGTGTTCTTACCTGTTTACAGTTTATCTGTAAATATTCTATATACCATTCCCATTCTTTTATTAAAAAGGTCCATTATCTTGATTTCTTATACTTCCAGAAAGTTTCACCATTTCTGCATATTCCATAAGTTTTTGTATCCCTTCTTCCTTTGCTGGGACTTTCACTTCTTTCGATTTTGGAAAACATTCTTGTTGCTGTAGTTGCATACACAAATAAGTTTCTATACAGTTTCAGTAGTTTTGTCCCTATAATTCCCAAAAGAAAAGCATCTAGGTTTGTTTGTTTTTTACAAATGTTTCTTTAAACATCCTTTTTTATTATTAATAATATGCTTTATTGATGTTATTAAATAATAACAAACATATGTATATACTCAAGACATAAATACAAAAAGAAAGTCACATTTTTTGTTCCCTATACATTCTTCTTAAGTTCCCACCCCATCGTGTATTTACTGCTTATTTTATCTGGTGCACTATCAATCTCCATTTTCTTTTTAATCATCAGTAATATCTTCTATAATTATCCATCGTATCATAGAAGTCATTCCAGTCCTGCCAGTGACTTTATATTAGTACAATAATCTTTAGTACAATACTTTTTATACATACCCCATTTCTGAATAAATGTTTGTTCAGTATTACCTCTCAATTTGTCTGTCATTTTTTCCAAAATGACAGGCAAAACTGGCAAAAATTAAACATCCTTTTCAATTCATTATATATCATTTCCCAGGAAGCTTTAACCTGAAAATGTATTGGAATTCTCAGGCATTTGGTAACACATTCATAAAGGCATTTGCATACCCTGAAAAGCTCATTTCTCCATCCGCACACACATCAAGAGATACCTGCACCTCATTTGTTCTTATGCAAACATAAGAGCTCTGCTAGATCAGACCAAAGGCTCATCTAATCTGCCATCCTGTTTTCAGAGTCGCCAACCAGACGCCTGTGGAAAGCACGCAATAAGCACTCTCCCTACTTTATGATTTCCAGCAACTGGTATTCATACTGCTTCCGACAAGTGGAGGTAGAACATAGCCATAATGGCGAGTAGCTCCTGATAGCCTTGGCCTTTATATAGATTTGCCTAAAGCTATCCAATTTGGCAGCAATCATCACAACGTATGGGAATTAATTCCACAGTTCAGCTATGTACATTGTGCGAAGAAGTGTTTTCATTTGTGTGCCCTCAAACTTCCAGTGTTTGGCTTCACCGGATGTCCACAACTTCTTCTTTTTTCTTCAATTTTTTTTATTGATTTTCCAAATTTATAACAAATACAACACACAAAGAAAAAGACATTACAATACTAAAAAGAAAGAAAAAGACAAAGACAAAAATATAAACCAATATTATTCTAGAACCCAATTTCATTGACAATGTTAACTGACTTCCTCGAATCCCCCCTATCTGAATTTCATTGAATCACCTTGTAACAGTTTTCCAAAATCCTCTTTCTAATGAAATTACCTCCTTCAAATAACTATCTTCCTTTCTTGTCCTAAATCCATAATGTTTTAAAATACATTCATACTCTAATCCTAAGCCATTTCGGTACTTTCAAATGACTTCTATTGTTTTATATTACAATATTTAGCTAAATAGTCTTTAAATTTCTTCCAATCTTCTTGATATTCCTCTTCTTTCTGATTGTGGATTCTCCCAGTCAGGTCAGCTAGCTCCAAAAAGTCTAACATCTTCATCTGCCACAGATGTCCACAACTTCTAGCATTATGAGAGAGAAAGGAAAGCTTCTCTCTAACCAATTTCTCCACACTATACATCATCTTGTGCTTCTCTATCATGTCCTCCCTTACTTGTCTTTTTCCTAAACTTAAAAGTCCAAAATGTTGTAACTTTTCCTCATGGGGTGTCACTCCAGCTCCTTGACCATGTTTGTTGTCCTTTCCCAACTCTACAATATCCATTCTGAGGTGGGGGTGATCAGAACTATGCACAATATTCCAAATGTGGTCACACCAAATATATTTTCTTATTTTCAAACTCTTTAAAAAATGGTCCCTAACATGGATTTTGTCTTTTTCACATCTGCCACACACTGGGTTGACTTTTTCATCTCAATGTCCGCAAATCTTCTTCCTGGTCAGTCACCATCAGTTCAGACTCCATTCGTGTATATGTGAAATTAAGATCGTCTTCTTCTTTTGTGCCAATGTGTATCACTTTGCACTTGCTTACATTGAGTGCAGTTGTCATTTTACTGCCCATTCACAAAGTTTAGAGAAATGCTTTTGGAGTTCCTCACAGTCCTTACAATTTGAAGGTCTAAATACACAATATCACTGGATTAATTCTATATGCTTGTTGTCAATCTAATTCAAAAAGGTTAGTGAGGCAGGACTTTTTAAAAATATGATTTTTATTAAATTTTCTGCTTTACAATTTCAGATAAACATTTTACATACTTACGATATCAATGACTTTCCTTCTTCTCTTTCCATGGTTCATTTTACATATATTGTATCCCTGTATATTTTACAAAAACTATGCCAATCAACCAATCAGTTTTCCATTATTGCATCCATCAAAACTTATTTACACTGTTGAATTTATCTTAATGCTGCCAGCGTTTTCAGCTGTACACAGTCATTTCCCATATATTCAATAAATGTTTTCCAATCACCTTGAAACGTATGTTCTTCTTGTTCTCTAATTCTCTATGTTAAGTCTGCAAGTTGTGCATATTCTGTCAACTTACCGTATTTTTTGCTCTATAAGACTCACTTTTTCCCTCCTAAAAAGTAAGGGGAAATGTGTGTGCGTCTTATGGAGCGAATGCAGGCTGCGCAGCTATCACAGAACCCAGAACAGCAAGAGGGATTGCTGCTTTCACTGCTCAGCGATCCCTCTTGCTGTTCTGGCTTCTGAGATTCAGAATATTTTTTTCTTGTTTTCCTCCTCCAAAAATTAGGTGCGTCTTGTGGTCTGGTGCATCTTATAGAGCGAAAAATACGGTAAGTTGCCATTCTTCTTTGGTGGCGAGCTCACTCATTTTCCATTTTGGGGCTAACAAAGCATGGGCTGCAGTTGTTGCATACATAAATAACCTTTTCTGACACCTGGGGATTTCAGTCTGAATTATCCCCAACAGAAAGTACTCTGGTTTTTTGGGGAAATAATTCCCAAAAAAGTCCTGAGGCAAGACTTATCCTTGTAGAAGGCGTGTTGGCTTTGCATTATCTAAACTCAGTGATTCCTATTTACTTTTTTTTTATTTAAAAAATGCATTAATATCACATCTAATTTAGCCTTGAGAACTAGTCTATTGACAATACTAGCCTAGATGTATAAGCACATGTTCACAAGATAATTTTTCAGCCCTACAGATCTATGCTTCTGTTCTGCATTTCATGTTTTATAATGTGATCCTTAAACTTTAACAAAACAAATTAAGTAGAATGGATATAAAGATGTGAGCTAATGCAGATGAGGAAGCCGCAAATTTTTTGAAATACAACCACTGAAATAGATATATGGAATTGATAAATGAAAAAGAGTTATGGCCATATATCACCACATATAGCTTCCCCTTTTTGCTTCTTCAAGTACAAAAATCAATAAAAGTCTTTTGCTGAAGAACTACCCTATAACATAAATCAATTAAAGGAGAAACTGAATGCTTTTAAAATGTGTATATATAAGGAGGTAGAAAACAGAACTATGAAGAATTATTTATATTTTATATCAAATACTAGTATTGTTCTAATTTAACATTACTGAAAATAAATTGAACTACTTGAAAATGTAGAGACCATGTAATGATATAGCTTGAGAAATCACAAGATAATGTTCATGTAAGTGTTATTCTTTCCCTCTTATGCTGGGAATGTTACAAAATACATCACTCGTCACTCCTCATGCTTTGAAG